TTCTTCCTACTCCCAAACTGGTACCTAATCTTTCTAGGTACTCAGAAGACAAAAGAACAATCCTATTACAGTGACTGTGACTATAAATAGGAAATGTTAGCTGCTATTACATTTTGCACGGTGGTTTCTTCATTAGAGGGTAGTTCCCCACCCATTCTTGACTCTCCTTAGTGGGAAGTTCAGAAGACCGCGTTAATTCCTACCTGTGCGTCGTGCCAATTATCTCCTTCTTCTTATATGGCTCCGCCCCACTTCCTTACAAAGCCAACAGACGCTGGTTTTTTCCTGGCTCTTTCTTTTTTAATAGGCAGCAGTGACAGAGGGCTCTGTCAGTGTTCTCTCTCATCTATGAACTGTAAATTTCAAATCTGTGCATTTCGTTATTATGAACAGTCATCTGATTATCCTTCCTGCCTACTCCCCGATGACAGTGAAAAGAAACTACTCTCAGTCACCAACACATTTGCCTCTGATGTTCTGGACCAATTCTCAGCCAACCTGAAGGTCTTTTGTAAATCTCAGCCTTACAGCCACAAGTTTTGGCCAATTTCAGAGGGCAAGGTAGGCAGAACACAAAGGGTATTAAGTTGACACAAGAAAGAACTTAAGTATTTAAAGCTTAAGATTTCCTGCTTAGTGTGGATGCTGTAGAGATCTATAAATTGGATTGTTTATAGCTAGAGAAATGCCAGGCAGCTGTAGACTCTAGACTTTGCCTTTTTGCTCACTGTTTCTTAGATATTTCATGACTTATTCGCATTTATTGAGCTTTTTGTCATTCCCCAGGAAAAAGTGAAATATTCCCAGCTCCAATTTATTAATGGATGTAAAGTTTCATAGCCCTCATCTTTCCTTATCTAAGAAAAGAGATTATTGGGATCATGTTGACAAAAGATCTGAAGTGTTCTTTTAAAACTCCTAATCGTGTTACAAGGAGACATGACTCTCCTGGTTTTGATCACAGGTGCGAGTTAACACTTTCTATATTGTCTAGATCAGTATGCATTTCTTTATATTCATGAGAATTCTTACTTGACTGCAAGTTAACTACAGACACTCATTTCTCCTGTTTCCTTCAGAACTTCCCATTTGAGAAGACTTTCTCGAGACTAAGGACTGTCAGAGTCCTTAGTTCTTAGCACACTTCCTGGCATACAGAAAGCATTCAATACATATTTGTACATATTTTATCTGGTGAATAAATTGGGAATGGAAAATATATAAATCAAATATTTTGGAATTCACTTTTGCTGAAGGAAAATTCCATAGAAGTACATTCCAGAAGATATTTTTAAGTTTATTTTTGATGTGTATATTTAGCTGATTTTCCACTTTCTCTCCATCTCCTGCATTGTTAAGTTCCTTGGCAGGTGGGAGGACAAGTATTATCTTAGAAGTAAATCTTTCCCATTAAGGACAGCTTGACAGGGAAACCAGAGGCTGAAAGGGATCTATTGCGTGTTTTTACTTTGTGTGCAAATGTTCTCCTTACAGAATGAACTGACTTATTTCACTCTCTAATGAAAGCCTAGTTTTGGTTTTAAAAGTGGGAAATAATATATAAAATAAGACTAATTTATAACCTGTGCCTATTAATTTAAATTACAAATATTTATTTTTTGTATATTGGCACACATATTTTACATAAGAACATATATATATATACTATATGCATATATTTCGTATATATTTTCTTTTCCTTCCTAAGAGGATTCTCCTAACTATTGGTACTTGAAGGTGGGTCTAGTTCCTCTTGGAATTTAGTCCCTCTGTCTAAGAAAACATTGGTTCTGGTTGTGGCCTTCTGCACATATTATATATCCCTGACATCTGACAAATGATTATGCCTTCACCTGAGTCTAGTTGGAATCACTTCTTTATCCTCCTCAAGACTTAACAATGGACTATATTTTGTGATCTCAACATTGCCAGTCCTCAGCTACCTTCTTGCTATCCTTCCTGGACAAAACATCAATGTTCCCCTTGATTAGCTGAGTATGTGTATGTGTATTCAGTCAAATACTCCAAATAAAGAGAGGGTGTAGGGGTTGGTGCCTGTGGCTCAAAGGAGTAGGGCACTGGACCCATATGCTGGAGGTGGTGGGTTCAAACCCAACCCCAGCCAAAAACTGTAAAAAAAAGAGAGAGAGAGAGAGAGAGAGAGAGAGAGAGGGGTAGTGTTAGTAGCATAAAAAAAAATCTGTTACTGGCCTACTTAAATATGAATATCAGTAAAATACAGTAAAGTTACATTATATGGGCATTCATGTCATAAATTCAACTAGACACACTTAGTGGTACTTTGGCCTCCAGATAGTGAGGAAAAAATAGTTTAAATGCAAATTAGTTAGATTTTATATTAGGGAATGCCATTACTGGAAGCGTCAGATAATTTAAAACTGGCATAATTAATGATTAATTTTCCATACAACTGATAAAGGAAGGCAGATATTCTTTGTTAGCTAACCTGGCACCGCCATAGGCTGTAGCAAAAACATGGTTTCCAATTTACTTAGCCCTCTAGTTTTGAAATTGTGTGATTGTTGATATAAAATTTTTATAGACATTCCATTATTTCAAATTCTGCCAATCACATGAGAATTTATTAATATTTTATGTTGTACTTTTAAAATCTTACATAATTTTACAGATAACTACTGTACTATGGCATGGGTGCCTTCCCTCAGCATTCCACTCCATTTGTATAGCAGATTTATTCTGGTAGGAAATACGACTCTGCTATTTCTTTCCATCCTGTGTGCCTATCATAGTAGATAATATCAATGCACTATAAATGCAAACAAAGTATTTAATCTGACTTCTCCCAAAGAAACTAACATCAATTGAATACTGAAAAAATGGCTGTACTAAATTTACTGAAAGTTGTTATGTCATTCTCCAAATGTCATGTAGTTTAAAGGAACTTCAAAGGTAATTTTGAACACATGTGACTCTTACCTTTATTTGCTAACTTTAGGACTTTACCTGCCACATATGATGTGACTTCCCTTGAAGATAACAGCCATTATTGATTGCCAACTTGGTATTTACTACTTCCTTCTTTCTTCCCTCTTTTAAAATACTTCTCACATAACTAAAGGGAAGATGACCCTAATGCTAGTTCCAAGTGTAGATTTTGACTTCTCTGGACTTATCACATTGCTCCCACCCCCTTTACCAGTTTTGGACTGGGTGAGTAACCTTTTTCTGGCCTATGACAGAGTCAGGGATAACACTTCTTCCTAAGCATATTATTGGGTTTCACTGTGACTCTAACAGCTACTGCCATCTTGCTATCAGTCCTCTGAGGATGCCAACATCAACAGTGGAAGAGAGCAGAGAAAGATGAACCCTAGATCCTTGAAGATATTGCTCAGTTCTTAAATCAACCAACCCTGAATCCTTCCCTCATATTTTCTTAGATAATGTGTTAGTCAGTTCAGGCTACTAAGACAAAATACTATATAGACTGCGTGGCTTAAACAACAGACATTTCTCATAGTTGGAGAGGTTGAGAAGTCTAAGATCAAGGTGCTGGTAGGTTTGGTTCCTGAGGAGGGCTCTCTTCCTGGCTTAAGAGAGTTAAGAGTTAGAGGTTAGAGTTAAGAGTTAAGGTTAGAATCTTTAACTTTATCACCCCAGTTAATCTTAATTACCTCTTAAAAGCTTTCTCTCCAATTATAATCATTTCGAGATTAGGGCTTCAACATATGAATTTGGAGAAGACACAATTCAGTCCATAGTAGATAATATAAAACATTGCTTATGCTGTTAAATGAGTTTAAATTGTTTTTTTTTTCTGTCATATACAACTGAATACACCTATAAGATATAGATATTATATCTTATAGTGCAATACACAAAGCATAATGTCTAATCCATGACACATTTGTAAAAGAGAAGATTGAGGGCTGTTTTCCTCTACTCAGAATAAAGCAATTACAGAGTTAAAAATAGTTTGTCCATGGCTGTTATAGGGAATTATTTCATGAACTGCTGATTGTACATATATGTGGTATCATGTTAACATAAACAGTCTAGCCTGTAGAGAGTTTTAAGTTTTAAAAGAAACATTTTTCTAGGATCATGTGCTCTGATGTAAAAACCATACTCCAGCCCAGTTCTATCATTATAAAGTCCTGGCAAGCCAAGAGACCTTAGCTGGTGATTTTTATCAAGCCAGATCTTTAATTAATGGCTCGATGAAACCATCACTGCATTGTAAAACACTGTAACAGACAAATGAAGATTCCTTTCAAGAATTTAGTCATTTTAGAGCATTATAGTTTATTCCACTAAAGGCAGCACCTCAGGGATCACCACAATTCTACAAATAAGAATATGCTTTCACCTTTTTGTCTGAAATGAATTAGTTGTGTTTTTCTTACAATTCAAATGTAATTCATACAACTATCTTCATCAAAAAAGATAGAGTCTGGATTTCATCACCTTCTAGTAAAGGTCTCATGAAACATTTTACACATCTTTTAATTACCTTATATACAAAATAATTACTATATTTTTCCAGATGAAATACAATTAAACAATAAAATTATATTGGAGTAAGAGATTTTCATAACACAGTAAAATTCACCTTTTATTTCTAGTTGGGGAAGTGAAAGAGCAGCAAATTTTAAAAAGCCCAAATTAAACAAAAGGAAACAAACTCCACCAAGAAACAAATGATGAGGGATACATTTGCATATAGATGGATACATATTACAGCAACAGAACTCGGGCCATTTTGAAATCTTAAACCTTCTGACACTATTTTCATAAACTCAGTAATACAAACCATGTGGTGAAGGATTTTCTGAAAAACTTTGCTGGTTTCACTGTGTATTTTATTACTGGCCAAATGTGACATTAAATTTTATCCCCTGTGGCTTGGAGTTAAATGCTTGCTCTGTTCAGAATGGCAACACTCAATTAAACAGCATTTTTCATGATCTACATCCACCATTGTTACTGTATTTAAGGGAAATAATGGGGGTACTGACCTATATTGCGCTTCTTATTATCAATGGAGACGAAGCGTACGCAGGGATTACTGGTGATGTACTGCCCAGCCCAAGGGACATCAATCTTCATGCCAGCTTCATAAAAGAGGCCCAGAGCATAGCGCGAAGAGTAGCTCACAGCCTCCAGTTGCTGCCTTTGGCATGCACTAATTACTGTGGAAGAAAAAATAAAAGGAATCAAACTTGAAAATATCATCTTTCCTTTTAGTACATCAAATACAGAACTCCTTTAAAGTGGTGCCAACTGCTTCCACCAACTCCATCTCACTTACGATGAATTTTAAAAGGTAATGTAAAATAGCATCAGCTCTAATTTCTTTTGAGAATGATTACTAATGTGGGAACAATTGTTTTTATCAAGCTGAAGATCTATACTTTTTTAGGCTGGCATTTCAGGCTCTCAAAATCTGGCTCCAAGTTGCTCTTCTAGCTTGGTATCCTAGTTACTGTCCTTGGACTGTCTGGCAACGTCCAGATTCTATACACTGACCACTTTCTCTGCGTCATGATCTTTGCTAAATAGTTAACATAGGCTTTTCTATCATAACAACAGTTTTATAGGGTAGAGTCTTATCCTACATTATAGATGACTGATGCTCCATCCTTTATGACTTCTTTAATTCTTCCACGTCACATCGTGACTTTTTTTGCCACCCGTCTTTCTGCCAGTGAATTCTAAGAGTTCTCTAAGCAGAGGCACCCCACCTTACTCATCATTTTTATAGACCTACTCATCACAGGCACATCAAGGATGGAAAAATAAAGAGATAGCAAGGCAAACACAGACAAGCCAAAGAAGTTGAAATGTAGGAGGTAAAAGATGAGAAAAGCCTGAAAAAGGAATTGGGCAGGTTTAGATTTTCAAATCCTGACTCTGCCACTTACTAGGTATGACCTTGGTTAAGCTGCTTAATTATGCTAATTCTATTTATTAATTTTCTTGTCTATAAGTGGCAATAATAGTATAGAATGCACTAGTTTGTCATGAGGACTACATGAAATAATTCATAGCTCAGCGCTTGGTGTAGAATAAGTGTTCATTAAGTAGAAGCTTTTTTCTATTATAGGTAGGAAACTATTTAGGAAAATGGGACAATCTTCCATCCTGGGGTGGGGAAGAAGGAGATTTTATTCTTTAATTTCCTCCCTGAAAGGTCTCAGGGAGCCACTTATTCATATATGTACAATATTACTAATTTGGTTTCAGAGAAATCTATAATTCTAGTCTGGCTTAAGTAGGCTGGTTCAGATATGAAACATATGGAAAATTTTCATTAATTATTGAGAAATATCTTAATATAAAATAGTTGGAATCAGCAGACCTCAAGAGTAGGGGGCAACTTTGAGTAAACCTTAGTAAAGTGGCATTAGGAGGCAGGTAGTGGTAGGAAGGGTCTTCAGGGAATTTTTTAAGCCCAGTCATAATCCTACACAGAAGGTCCTAACAAACACTTGACTTCCCTACAATTCACACTTATAAACGGAGGCTACTACAGTAAGTCTAGAAGTTATAAACATTCAACTGCTGTACGACTTGCACTTATGAACAGAGGCTTTCCAATAGGTAAATGTACCTGTTCCAACTTACATACAAATTCAATGTAAGAAACAACCTACAGAACCTATCTTGTTTGTAACCTGGGGGCTGCCTGTACCTTATTACTGCTACAAAATGTTTTTAGAACTATGAGTGAGTTTAATCTTCACCAAAGCCTTACCAAAATTGGAGTTTGTACCATACTCATTTTACACCCCTAGGAAGGTAAAATTAAGATAGGTTAAGTAACTTGCCCTAGGTTTCACTGCTTCTGAGCTGTGCAGTCAGGGTGAAGCTGGAGTCCCCACTCTGGAGTAACACACAAATCCTCATTCTCCTATACTTTCCTCTGCTTATCTGCAAGTGTGAGTTTCAAAATGAACTCTGGAATTACTTTCTCCTTTGACATTAACGCTGTTTCGCACCCATCATTTTCTGCCTTCTTGAAAGCCTTAACTGCTTGATGAATAAATAATCTGACATTGGCTTTGTTACACCCAGTGAATTTGGGGCTTCATTTTATTAGTTAATTCACTTTAAAAGTTATCGCTTGACATTATGCTCATTGTTTCCTAAGAGGGAGGAAGTGAAAGATACTAATGCTGGTAACTGAACACATGTCACTAAGTTTCCCATTTTTAAAATTAAAATCCAAACAAAACTTTGTAGTCAGCTATTTAGTAACTGAAAGGGCCTAAATGTTTAATTTTTTTCAGATCATAACTGAAGGGTCAATTAGGTTGACAACTGAACTAGATCTTCCCCTCCCCCACACATTTAGCTAGTTTTTAGATAAACTGCCAAGTGGCAGATCCCACTGGTAGCCCTTTGAAAAGGTAATTGATATCTATGTAGACACGGCAGTAACCTTAGCCACTCTTGTCTGCTCTGGGGGTTCTATAATTCATTTTGAGAACAGGGAGGTGAGACTACTGATTGAAACAACCTCAATTTCTGGACATACTTACTTACAAAAAAATCATCTTTGGGGCCTGAAAAGTTTTTCATTATCATAATGCAAACTTAAAAAAATGGTATTATTTTGTTTGAAAAAGTTTCTTATGCAAAATACTGAAGGAACAAGCCCTAGATCCCAAATACATACACTTTGGCAAGGAAAACAATAGACTCTTTTTAATATATATTCAAAGAGGACATAGGACCACAAAGCAAGACTTCTATAAAAATGCCTAATTCCAGTATCATGATTCTTTACCTTTTCCTCATTTAATTCTGAACCAATAGGGTTATATATTCTATATACATATAGTTGTATATAGTACAAATACATACAGATGTAGTATGTATATAGATTATATATACTACGTTTTATATAGTAGATAGACTATATAGCATACAAATGTATATAGACACACACATATATAATACAAAATATATATTATGACTATGATGTCAGTAAAGTGGGTAAAAATTATAGTGGACAGGGTAGTTGACATTCAGACTTCCATTAATTAGAGGAATTATTCTTATTTCATTCTTTCCTTGCCCATGTCTTTGTGTACATTTTTGTGTTTTGCATGAGTGAGTTTTGGGGGAGGTGAAAGACAGGAAGAAAAAAGGAGGTGAGAAGGAGGGTGAGAAAGAAAGGAACAGAAGACCGGGCTCTATTCCTGAGTAAGTAATTTCATTTTCTTTGCTACCTAATATGATTTTATTCTCTTAGTTTCTTAACCTATAACATAAGTGATCCTCCTGCCTCAGGATCCTGAGTAGCTAGGACCACAGGTGTGTGTTACTGTGCCTCACCAATTTTTTAGTAGAATGGAGTCACACTATGTTGCCCAGGCTAGTCTCAAACTTCTGGACTCAAGCAATCCTCCCACCTTGGTCTCTCAAAGCGCAAGATTTATAGACAGGAGCCACTGCACTAGGCCTACATTGTTGTTTTAAAATCAAATCCTTAGGCCCAGAAGTATGATGGGTGAGAATATTTTGTAATTTTTGAAGATGTGTTTTTTCATACACAAACAAGGTACTGCTTTCAACTTATTTTTCTTCACATAATGTTTGCATTTTTGGCACGATAATAAATATTTCAATGTTGAGAGTAAAACAAACACCTCTTAGCATTAACATGGTATTCATTACCAACATGATAGTTATTGGTAAATGCTGCACACATTTCTATTTGGTGTTTAAAGCCTTAACATCCTGCCTGAAGTTTTGTTGTTTACAGCTACTTAAAAAAGACTGGTAATTTCCTGATTTGCCACCATATATATGTATAAATGATTTTAACTCAGGGACAGTTGAAGTTACGGAGCCTGTTTGTATTATAACAACTTAAGCTTTGATTAAAGGAAAGTGCTCTTGATTTACTTATTGCTTTTATATTTTACATTGAATTCCAAGAATGTCAAGACATTTTATGCACCGATTCAACTAACATTAGACCATCTAGCTCTGTGGGTACAGAAAGAAAATAGTATCTCAGCCAGAATAGCTGGTTCCTTCTCACTCAAAGAGGCTATAGAAATTGTGCTGAATGTCCCATTTTCCATAAACAGTTCTCTTCGCAGGCCAGTACAGAGTTTGAAATTTTACCATTCGTGAGTCATTCCTTTCATGTAAAATCATCACAGAATCAGCCTTGTTTCACTTCACCTGGAATAAACTGAATACTCAGTTGGACTCCATAGGTATAGAAGGCATTAGGTATGGAAGCGAGTTTCAGGAATTGCTTTGGCAAGCGATAAATCTCGAGCTTATTGGTGACAAACTGCAGCAGTTATAGCTATGTGGGATTTTCCTGAGGAAATGTTCCCTTCATCCTGGGAAGCAACTTGGACGTCAGAACAATTGGGGCTTGAATTCTGGTTCTGAAATTTATCTGTGTGACCTCTGTCAAGTTACTTAGTTTTTCTAAGCATCTGTTTTATTGTAAAATAATTATAGTGCCTGCCTTAAAGAATTGTTGAGGAAACGAAATGAGATAATTTACTTCTTTAATTACTTATTTTTAGTATTGTATGTCATATTTATATAGCCTATCAGGTTCTTTACTCCCCCTTGACTTCTAACATTGCTTAATGCAATGCAGCTAGCACATGCGTCTGTTGCAAAAGCCCAATACAATCCTACTTGACCTTAAAAGCTTTTACGGGTGTTTATGTATACATCATCCTTTGGAAAAGTTTTTAAAAAGTCTTTAGAGAGGACACCCTTATGCTCAAGGATATCAGATGTGTACTAAATCAAAGACATTTCTTGGGTAGTAAAGTACACAGACATACCCCAGGTTTTGGAGTAGAGGGTAAAAACAAAACAAAATTTTAAGTAGTGCTAAAAATGCCAAAAAATGTTTTGGAAAATAATTTTTGAAAAGTCAACATAAATTGTAGGATCCTTTAGCTATCTTTCTACTTCAGAAGGCTGAATGTTCAAAGACTTATCTTTGAAAATGAATGAAAACCAAATTTGAGATCACTACGTTAGCCTTACATTTTCTTAATCTTACTCCTATTCCAGGATTGTAGAAAAATAAAAGAGACCAAAGAAATGGGTTTCTCTGTATTGTTTTTTGGTCACTTAGGATTATATTTTCATAAACATTTAGGGCTAAACTGTTTTTACACTCATAACAAGAAATTTCATG